GGGGGGGGGGGGGGGGGGGGGGGGGGGGGGGGGGGGGGGGGGGTGACTTTTGCGGCTGCCCCTCGACGATGGCAAATAAATCGTGTCCTCCAGGGGTCCCTCTTTGGTAGTATTGTTGAACGAAATAATGAACAAGAAAAAATACAAGAAAAAAGACGCAGCGCCAACGGAACCGGGAATGTGTATCATGTAAAGCGGAGATATCGCCGGGGTGGAAGGGCATTCAGTCACTTCATGGCGTCAACACGCACGGATGTTGCTTTAAGAACCAACCAAGCCATGCAATGTGGGCTGCTGCTTCGAAAAAAAATCATTTGAGTGTCACCCAAGCCCCAGCCACACTCAAATGAGTAACCAGTAGCAATATCCACAACAATGACAACAACAACAACAACAGAAGCAGTTACAATAAAACAACAGAGTAGCAGCAACAACACACGTATCACACACCAACGACAACAACAGAGAACGAGACAAGAACAACAGCAGAAGCAGCCCACACAACAGCAGAGTATCAGCATCAATACCACACAAACAACAACAGAGTATCAGCATCAATACCACACAAATAACAACAGAGTATCAGCATCAATACCACACAAACAGCAACAGAGTATCAGCATCAATACCACACAAACAACAACAGAGAGCAAACACCAACTGCAACCAAGGTTTTTGGCCATGACACATACCATTCCCATCGGGCACCAGGCACGCCCCGGGCAGCAAGCCCCTCCCCCGGCAGTGGTGCAGCAGCATCGACAGCACCTCGTACCTCCCCTTGCGGGCAGCCTCGTGGAGCGAGGTCGACTGCCTCACTAGCTCATCCCTGGCGCTGAACCCTGGGATGGGATTGGGGATCCAAAAGGGGCTTGCCCCCGGCCACTCTAGCAACTTCTGGTGGACCTGGTGGTCGGGGGCGGGCGGAGGGGAGAGGGGGGGAGGGGGGGCACTCGTGTAAACGCATGCCGCAGTCATCAGACCATTGACCTCGCATCCCTACAATGCCGGGACGGAGTGGTACGGTAGCCGTAAAGGGGGGGTGTCCTCATGTCAATGCACGCCGTAGTCGTTCGACCATCGGCCTCGCATCCCTACCATGCCGGGAAGGAGCGATACGGTAGCCGGGTTTTCGCGGACCCAGGCTAGTGCTGTACGGTTAACAAGGATGGACCAGAAGCTGGTGGGGGCGGGGGGGGGTGTACTCTTATGTTTTGCATGCCTTAGCGGTTAGACCATTGACCACGCATCCTCGAGAGGACGGAGCAGGACCGATCACCGATGGCCAATCGTTCCTTTCTACTTTGCCAAAGTTGGCTCAAAAATGTCTTCCCTAGTCTGTNATGTAGGTAGTCCTTGAACCCTACTCCTTCCTTCAACATTCCGTACACTTCTAGACCCTCCTTGTCCTTGGATTCTTTCCTTAGATTCTGTTCTTCTTTCTCTTCTGTTCTTCTCTCTCGGCAAACAACAGATATCTTCTCCTTGAACCCCTGTAGACCCTCCGTTTCCATCGTTTCATCTTCGTCGATGT